GACCGAATCCCATTTAGATACACAAAAAAATATATAGGTTTATCAAGGGTACACGTGCAAAAAGAAGTAAGACGCATATTCCTATGTGTCGAAATCGGAGACCGCGCGCGGGGGGGGGGGGGATTTAGGGGGGAGGGGACTCTAATTTCTGTGTACTTTTCATAAGGGGGCACCGTGAATAGAAACCCCTCTGCAGTAGAGGTAACGACTTATTTCGTGAACAAAGCCCCTATACTAAAATCCCATCAACAACCAAATCGAAGTTTGACCCCCCGGGGGGGTTGGCGTACGTGTCCAGTATTGTTTTTCGTGTGTACCCTTGGTATAATGGACAGTTTTTTCACATACCTCAAAGCGGGTTTGAGGGGGTACGTTTCTCGAGAGGTGCCCGACATCTACTACACACGTGTGCAGGGATGCTGCTCGTCCAAGGGCGGCAGAGGCGGATAGGACATAAGGCATAAGACATAAGACAAGCGCTTGTACCTTTTCTCGGTCACAGAACGCCCAAACGTCTTGTACCACGGCTGCGCGCGGTAGGGGACGTCGGGGCGAAATCACGGACATTTTTGCACTCTGTGCAACCTGCCCGAGCCTCTCTCTGTAGCATATCTAGGCGTGGAGACCTCTTCCCCTCCCACGTCTGTCAGATTAATTGGGGGTCCCTCACTAACGCCGGTTGAATAGCGTCACTGCCTGGTATAGTAGTGCCGGTGGGATATTGCGTCCCCTCCCCACATGAAAAAAACACACACACTCACGGGGTCCCAGTTCATGGCAGATAGAAGTGTTTTGTGTTTTCAACCGCACTAAGACTGACGTGTTTTCATTGGTCAGCCGGTTAGCGCGGTTGATGTTACCAATAATAAAGAAAAACACACACACACCCGCTCCCATAATTGTGTACTGCTGCATAGATAAGGACGGCCAGTCCGTGATGAACAGCGTTGCACAGTTATCGCGTGGCACGGATGTCGTCCAGTGGAGGTCCCTCAATAGTGCCGGAACGTCAGGTTCAACGGCACTACTATACCGGGCAGTGGAACTACTCAACCGCACAAAAGTGGGACCCCCCCACTGTATTCAAGTTGTTTCAATCTCTGAACAGACAAGGCAGTGTCGAGGGTGCCCGGTGTAGTGCCGATTCATCTGACGGGGCATATACCGGCGCTGAGGGACCTCAACTGTACCCAAGAACTTAGCATTGGCCTTGTCCTGCCGGCCCTTCACTTTCGCTCTATTTTTTATTTTTTGGGTAATGAGGGGTACAATTAGCAACGGCCAGAGAAACGGCGGGGAACCTTAAGTATAGAAGCCTAATGAACACCAATAGACTACAGTCAGCGCTGACCATCATAGTTCACCAATGGTGTGATTTTACGTAAACGTTAGTCGTGGGGTCCGAGTGGCCCAACACTTTCACTCTCAAGCGGGCGAATCTCCTCGCCAGCCAATGAGTATTTGGCTTCCTTTTTACCACTCGTCACCCACATCCTGCACAACAATCCAGGGTCTCACACGCGTCTTTCCGCCACCCAAACTCTGGCCAAGAGCACCGGGGATCCTCGAGTGGTCATTCCACCCACGACTACCTTTGATACAGGCCCACACCAACGCCCAAACCAAAAATCATTAGACTACAGTGGCGGCTGCGGTTTAAGAGAGACTATTTACGAGAAAGAACCGATTTAAGATAGTCACACTGGCTTGTCACGACCATGAGAAAGACATACATTTCACAGTGCGGTGAAAGAGGAAACCGGACTCAAGAGAGAAATACTGGCTGGTCACGACCCTCTCTCAAACTGTTTTGAGTCTTCTGATTTCGGCTTCTGTATGCATACAATGTAGAACACAGCTTACCCGGGTGGTTGTGGGCGGATCTATCTCTGGCCGAGCCTCTCCGAAGCTTTGGGAAAAGTTGGTTCGAGCGATATGCAGCACTAGAAGGGGTAGCAAACACAGCAGCTGCAGCAGCACCACACAGCACCCACCGTCGGCACTGCTGCTGCGTCGCGTCTCTTACGGCACCTTGTCAAGCCCGGCGGGGTTTCTAACCCGTCCAAAACGCCGACATTCGGTAGTCGATACATGAAATTTAAATGCAATCACTCGGGGTAAAGCGCCAAGATGTGCATGATATTCCTCGGGGTAATACGGCGAAGGGGGTCGGCTTCACACCTACACCCAGGTTGTCATTTTCAAAGACTTATTTATCGAAAGAGACAGAGAGAGAGAGAGAGAGAGAGAGAGAGAGAGAGAGAGAGAGAGAGAGAGAGAGAGAGAGAGAGAGAGCAGCATGCTGAGCAGGCAAAGCTGCAGCAGCAAACCACAGCCGTAAGACAAACCGCATAAACCTTCAGTGCTGTCATGCCCGGTGAGCTCCCCTTTCCCCCCGTCAAGGCACACGCTAAATACTATACTTTCATGTTTCCTTCGGGGTAAAAGGTCACGAAGACCGGTGCTGCCACGCGCTGCAGCTATGCATATGCAGACTATATATTTCTCAAAAATAAATTTCCTTTCGGGATAATTAAGAAAGACCAAGAGGTCGGGCGCACAAAAATACATCGGGTATGAATGGGCACCGTTTCATGTCACCCTCTTGAAACGTAAAATCCCACCCCTTGCCGAGTTTGTATCTCTATCTTCAGCACGTCATGGCTGTCCTGCCGTTTCCGTAGAAGGAAGTCTAACCCTTCGCCTGCGTGTGCCCGCTACTGATGAAGTACTTCCGCGGAACGGGCATGGTCAATGCATTCACGGTTTGCGCGATGTCTGTACTGAAAGAAACAGGTACCTATTCATATGCTCGCCTCGTGGAGCTACGTCGATTCGCTCCAGAGTTAATTTTTTTCTTAGCAAATGCACCGTGACTGACCAAAAATGATTCACGGCACCTCCTTTATCACCACGGAGCCTCCTACGTTTCCACGGTTCCCCCCGTTTACAACGACGGGGACCCCTCTGAAGTTCCCCCTCATTGGCATCACTTGAACCAATTATTGCATGTCGTCGGAAGAACAAGTGGATTTTCCCGCGGAAATTATTTTTCCTCGGAAAAACATGGGAACGTTGGTGGTGATTGACGAGAGGAATCAATCGTTTGCCGTACTTTTTTTTTTTTAATCCTACAGTTGGATCTTCCACATGTAACGATAGAATTGGCCGTCCAGATCCGTTTTGATGCGAATACCTTGCAAAATACTGTTGGAGAATCGAATCGTGGAAATGTAATTCAAAGAGCTGTCCAAATCCGTTGAGTACGATTTTCGGATACGGTACTCTACACCACCAACAAAAAAAGTTAGAACAATTCCGGTGTATCTCCGAAAAAAAAGTCAAAGAAGAAGAATAAAGAAAAAACGCGGCGTCGGGAAGATGCGCCTGGAGACAAGTCGTTTGACGGTACTTCAAGATTTCTACACACCCACTCCTACCCAAGAAAAGAGTGCCATCTTCTTGCAGGGCAGAATTACTGGACAAAACGTTGTCCATGGACCGGCTGGCACGGACCAAATTGTGCGTGTCTGTATGTAACTACGAAGTCATATCGAATGCAACAGACTACCATCTTATTAATAAGTAAGACGGTTCTCTCTTCCCACTCACTGCAAAGACGTCAACACGTCCCTTCGACTGCTGCTGTGGTATTGTCTCGACGGGCAGGTCGTTCTTTGAATGTATTTATGTTGATAAAGAGAAGAAGTCACGTCGTTGTGTTGTGTGCTTTTTTGGTTGTACTTTTCGTCTGCCTCCATCGCATCCATCACCATTGAGACTAAGAAAACAATACGCAACCAGCGGCGAACGGCAGCGAATTTTTGTGTAATCGGTGAACAAAACTCAATAGACGTCACCGTGGGTCACCCGCTGAGTTTATTGCACGTATGAAGTGAAGTAAGAAACATCAATGCAGTGTCTGATGGTATGTACTTTGTGTGTAAGTTTTCTTGTGTGTGGTAGTAATGTGTTTATGAATGAAAGTGCGGATGTGTGTGTGTGCGTATGTGTGTGAGCATGTTTTCTGG